AAAGACAACAACTCGGGGGCAAAGCCCGCAGCCGGCCTAGGCTTTCCCAGCCACAAGGGCCGAGGGCTCCCTTGCCCCGGCTGACAATCCCACAACATAACAGCACAGAGAACAACTGCGCCTTAGTCGGGCCCCAGCCCTGCGCTCCCCAAACTACAACCCAACTACAACAACTACACATTAAAATATACTCACATTTATTGGCGTATATTCGGCGGCAAAAACTCCACGTCCTACTCCGTCATCTTCTGCCGAGCTTGGAGATATCAAGCCATCGCGTCGGGGTGGAGTGATACACCGTGATAAGAATCGATAAAGGGTGATAAGAGACATTGCAAGCCAATTTCGTGTTGGCGCTCATGTTGGCAATCATCACAATGAAGCGCTCTTATACACCACTTTTACCCGGGGCTTCCCCCACGTTTACTTCTTACTGTAAGTGATGGCAGTCCACCCACCGACTAGCGAGGATGATAGAATCATACGGTTGTGGTGAAGCACGGTAACACTAATTAAAACGAAGTGATAGTGACGATGGAAAACGCCACATTCATCGAGCTTGCCGCCGTATTGAAAATTGCGTATTTCAGTCGTAATTAGTACACTTCCATAGGTTCTCAATCTCTGCTGTATAGCCCATTTCTCGATTCGTATCGCATAGAGGACAACCCTTTTCAGACAAGCAGTGAAATGCGAAGAGCTGCCAAGAGATCGTTTGGATCATTTATGCCGACTTGACATCCGTAATGCACCCGATGTTTCTAGAAAAACTGGAATAATCTGCACTATAGGCAAGTTTTTCATGATGCTGGTTGTTTATGACAGGATACGAGACAAGAGTCCCCCTGAATTCGCCGCGCAAGCGATCGTCTAGAGAGGCGGATCCTAAACTTGCCAATTGCCATGCTTCAAACTGTAATGCGACGTCGCGCGCGGTGACCTAGTTTTAGCGCGGCGGTCGAGGGGGACTCTTGACCGTCTCCCCTCAATCACATCTTTGATGTAACCGAGCCTCCACCACTCAAAATTTCTGAGCAAAAGACTAAACAGAGACCCTGCTTGCATGAGCTCGAGTCAACAAAAGCCGGTGCTTATGTCGTAAGGAGGGACATTGAAGTGAGTGAGCCACTTACAGAACCTGGGACTAAGCCTTAGGGAGGGAAAGGATTCTGGGGAAGGATGTGAGCAACCTTTGTTCTCCCTGGCGTTTCTCCCCTCTCCTGGGCTTAGTCCTAGTGTCACCTACCAGCGTTTTTGAATTCCTTGTTTTGAATGTCCTCCCTAAGGACATGAGCGCCCAAAACCTCATTGGAGGGCTCATTATTAGGTGTTCATCTCATTCAAGCGGTTACCTTGATTATTAACGAGCTACAGATGATGATGTGGGAAGGCTTAGTCATAAGTTCGCTGCCTGCAGCAGACGTCGGGGAGATAGATAGCCTCCTTATAGCCGTGGCTCATGGCCAACATGATCTCATAGATCGTGCAAGCGACATGCAGCACTTCCAAGACTTCGTCACGTCCACACGTCTGATAGAAAGCTTATTAGCGCTGTAATGAAAATCAGGAAGCTTGTTCAGAGGTTTCTGTAGGGGCGGAACTATTTGCGGGAACAAACAGGCTAAAACCTTTACGACATCCGCACATCCGAAATTAATACTTTTCAGGTCCGTCTTGTCGTTCAGTGGAGATGCTCAAGCAAATGATCACATGTGGAATGAACATCGCTCGTCTCAATTTCTCTCATGGAAGTCATGAGGTGTTGCAATGATGATTTTTCCAGCACTTGTAGTCAGATTTCCGCAGTGGAAAAAGATTCGCTCCTCAATCCTCTCAAGAACAATCCCTATATACAAGTCACTACTCCACTTGAGGCAGATCGACTTAATTTATTTCTCTACGAAGTGGATTTGAAGCGAAAGAAAATTTTGTGAAGGAGAATGGATATGATTAGATATGATTACAATCCAGCGAAAATCAGGAAAATAATAGTGTCCGATCTGCAAATCGTCGGGTCAAGTCATGGTAGCATCAGATCAAAGCCTAGCAACTAACCCTTGGGAGGTGGTCCACAATGGGTTACAGCCAGGGTAACGCGGAGTTTGTGGCCCTAATCGGCTTCGTCGCGCTAATTTGAAGATATGATTTCTTCATTGGGCCCATCTTGGAGTCGACGCGACAATTGACGAGGCCATGACTAGCGTTGAAGTCGGTGAGATGGAGGGAACGCTGAGCCTGAAGAGGCTTCGTTGTCCGATGTCGTCGGATCGATCTGAGATGGTGCCATGACGTTTCCCAGTGTCAACTTATGTAGATTCTTCGTCTATCTCTATTTGAAGGACGCGTTTCGACTGAGGACCAACTAAGAGGCGCACTGCATTCGTTTGAAATGGCAAGGATATTATGCGGTAATAATTTCGGCCAATCCAAGGCGACGCCTCCTTGTGCTCTGAACAAACGTAACGTCGCGCGCCTTGATTTTGTGTGGTGAGGAGCATTCGCAAGACGACCTGGTACCGTTCCCCTTTGGCGTTTTTCTACTATCTCTACGGTCTTTCTCCTCTAAAGTTCCTACATACTCTTTCTGCTCCGGTGCAATTGCTGCGTGGTACTAGGCGTTCTTTCCACATCTACGCTCCTTGACCACTGCGCCTCATAAGAAGCATGGCGGTTCCTTGTTGTAAACCTTCTTTCTACTGACAGCGTCGGCTCAGAAGGTGGTGTGGCTACTGAAGATAGGCTGTACGTAAATTCGACGTCTTGTCGGATACCCAGGAGTGACTAGGTTTACGTTCCGAGCTCCCTGTCCGTGATCTGCGGATTGCTTTCCAGCTTGTGGAGAGGGTGAAAATGTAGTTCAGGGGCACCCTGTCAATGCAAAGTGGGTAGCAGAAGGCACTCTGGCCATATCATGACATCCGGTCCACCAGTCCCCTGTAATCACGGAGAACTCACCATTGCATTGAACCTCGGTTGTACTCCTGCTTCAACGACAAATGTGAAGCAGAATGTAAAAGTCTTTTCCAGTATCATGGCGGCACCATCAAAAATGTTCGCCAAGCTGTCCAAGAGATGGGAGGCAATCGTCAGATTGGTATCGCTTTGGATACTAAAGGCCCAGAGATTCGAACTGGCCTTTTGACTGGTGGCGCCACTGCCGTAGAGGTTTGCAGCTTCCTCGTACTTTCATGTATACTCTTCTTTCGAGAGCCAGATGGTCGTCGAGTGCAGACTGTATATCACTAGTGAAGACGGCGACCCAAAAAATCTGCTTAGTGGTTCATAGTGATCGCTGATAGCTGACAAATGATAACTGTAATTAGAAACAATGATAGAATATATCTGCAACAGGCTAAATTCCATCAGCAGAAACATTACATTATGTGGAGACGGACGTCACTTGTAGTGTGTGGTCTGCATTCGACGCGTGTCGGGTTTTCGGAGCAGTGAGGTACCTGCTAATTTCTAGAAAACTTCTGCAGGTTTTGTTACTACTTCCAAATACTCGTGAAATTCTAACTAATAATCGTTAATAATACTAATGATAGTACTAGTGAAAGATTTGACCTTTCGCACTGTACTTTGTGCTTTGTAACAAAATGAACCAGGTTGTGCTCCATATTCGAGATGACTTAAAGGCACATTCCGCTATCAAATAATTATGGATTACTGCATCCAAAGATGAAAGTAGTTGTGGCACTTTGAGTCATAGCAATGAAGGAGTACCAACAAATAGCAACACTTGAAGTGACACTACGCGCTACTCGTATGAGTGAGTTCCCACTCGACACCTTTCTTCTCATGTTCTTTGCCTTGATACGAAAGTTACGATAGATTTCATTCAAGAATGGTGTTAACCATTGAAAAGATAACAGCGGGATGTTATTCCGCCCATACATCCACGATGCGAGAATAGGTGGAGGAAAAGCGCCAACTGACCTCGGTCCATACCTTCCTGTCGAGTGAGCGTGCCCATGGCCTGGTATGGGGGCCGTCACACCTTGATAGAAGTCGCGTGGATGAGCCTTTCCAAAATATTTCGTTGCAAAAGAGCAAAGCATGCTGGAGGAACTCATCAACGCGATTTATATTGAGTGCGGGTTGTCACGTCAAATCCGTACACAGCCTACTCAAAATCAGACGGCGAGATATCGACCGTAAATCCATTGCTAAAGACTTGTAGTAGAATGGCAATGGGATCTGCTTCAGTTATGGGGTGGACGGGCACCACATAATTCCCTCTCCTTCTTCTCAAGCGAGCGCACCGTGAACTTTGTTACGTGAAATGGATTACAGCAAATCTCTCCGAAAAATGCCATTTCAGATTGAGCTTGTCAAAGGCAAGTCAATCACGCTCACGATAGACGACCCAATACAAAGAGTCCTGTACTGCAGACAAACTTTATTTGGACTACAAAAACATCTACAAAAGGTACTTTGATCCTTTTCCGATCATATTCTTTCTTTAGGGGGGGGGGGGGGGGGGGGGGGGTGTTTGTTATTTATTCATCGTGTATGTATTGGATTATCCCATAATTCCTGGCCGATTTTGGTTCCACTTCAATTTTCTTCATGTCAACATTAGCTTAATAATGTGCTAATATGTTGAAGAACACATCAGGACCTTCAGCCAGGATGTTTCAGAAGCTAAAATGCGCAAAGGGATATTTAAGTTGGAATCAAAATAGCCAACGATTATGCCTTAACGACAATTTTCAAGAAGAACCTCTGCAAGGAGCGCGGTAGGCAAGATCAGCGCTACGTTTGCCCCAGTCTTTGCTACTGATCGGGCACTGAGCTATTGGCTCAATAGCATCGGCAAAGACGATAGGAGCTGCAAAGTTCGACCTCATCACGGACCTCCAGTCACTTTCGATGAGGACCTCTTGCGCTACGAATAGGAAGTGCATCCGGACGCTATTAGCAGGAAACTGTAGCAAACATCTGGGCGCAGCCTACGCTCCATGAGTCGACACCTGAATGGAATGGGCTGCAGCAGAATGAAGTCTCGATGGAAACAGCATGCATCGACTGACCATGACCGAGAAGCACGCCTGACCATCTGCAGAAGTTTCATTCTGCGACCGTATAGACGGACATTTCCTAGCTGGTCACGCCAGTGCAGCTGAGTTACGAAGTCCTACCAATTAAAGGAATCTTCCACGGAAAAAGCTCCGCCCTCATTACCACAGAAAACGATACCTTAAAGGAATCTTCCACGGAAAGAGTGATCATTTTGTCTTGTGTGTAGGATTAGTATTATCGAAACTAACGCTTATGTTCCGTTCTTTTTGCTATGCTCATGAGGCTAGGGGCCTAAGGTATCGTTTTTCTGTGGTAATGGAGGCGGAGCTTTTCGTGGAAGATTCCTTTAAACACATGCCGGCAGCACCGCGGTGCTACCTACGCAAGTCTGGACCCACCTATCTCGCGCCAATCCTTCCTCAGAGGAAATCACCGCCAGATTTTGTTGGATTCGCTGGGTATCCTGTTTTGGGAACCACTTCACTTTATGCAGACAAGCATTGCGAAGGTGACCATGGAATAGCTCCCGAAGTTGGCTACAGCAGTGCGGGAGAACGGTTCGAAACGTCTCAAAATCTCCTTTCTCCGAAGGACCGCCCGAAATCACATTGCAAAGATAACTCGCCACGTTTCGAGGGAAAACTGGCTGGGACCACGGCACCAACACATTGCTCCATCGTACTATCACCTCCGCCAGCTCCCTGAAGCAGCAGCTAGGAGAGAAAAAGTCAGTAAACACAACCACCTCAAAAACGACCTCTTCGAGCTTTTCATCTCACAGCTTCTCGTTCTGGGAGGACTGCATCCCATTCGTTTCAATAGCAAATGGGTGCATAGCAGCGAGTATGTATGACGTATATTTCCGGCTCCAGTGTTTTTCAGGGAAAATAAAACATGCAGAATTCAAAGTGGTTGAAATTTCGGAGACAAAATTATGGGGGCAACACCATAGTATATCATACACGTACGGTATGAGTCATCCCGAACACTATACGAAGTTATTAGAATTTTGTTGTTTTAAGGTAGTGACGAAAGGGTCCAGGGTCTATGTCGACGATGGTCTCATTTCGCTGGTCGTCAACGAAGTCAAAGACAATTCAATTGCATGTACCATCGAAAACGGTGGAATGCTTGGTGAGAAGCACTGTCTATATAATTTTTGTCTCCTTCTTCAGTGATCTCATTCATTTTAAGGTAGTCGCAAAGGTGTTAATCTTCCTGGAACGCCTGTCGATCTACCGGCGGTCTCTCAAAAGGATATTCAGGCGAGATGCAGATTTCTTCCGTAACAATTAAATGCCCTTCAGAGATTTTCGACCATTGGGAACACACTAAAATAGGGTTGAGCTCTCTGGATTCCAAGCAAAGATATCATGAGACAGGCAGTGGTCACTATCCATTGTCTTTCGAACAATCTATTACTGTCTGTCGATTAACTCTGAGAGAAATAATGCTTACGTATCAATTTTGTTTTTGAAAGTTACTGCTGCATCTCAAAGGCTTTTTAGAATTTCAGGATTTGAAATTTGGTGTGGAACAAGGAGTGGACATGATTTTTGCCTCCTTCATCCGAAATGCAGACGGAGTTCGAGCAATGCGAAAAGTACGCCTCAAAATTTAATCAGGGCCCATTTGGTCCTGTTGCAGTTTTCCAAAGAAGGATCCAGAGTGGTCGAAGATCGAAGAAGGGAAGTTCACACTGACAGACGGACCACTTAACGGCCCTAAGGCAAGCCGAAACGCAGTATGCGGGGAAGGGTATGCCCCGGCGATCTAGTATGTCCGTACCCGCGTCGTTATCGACGCGGCACGGCCCCACTCGTTAGCGACTCGTCGCAGGTCTTTTGCCGTTCAATAAGAGAACGTTGGCATTGAAGAGAGCAGCAGCGATGGGAGTCTCATCAATGCAGCAATCAGCAGGCAAGGGATGGGTCCCCATGTCTCTAGGTTCAGTGGCCGTTTCCTCGTGATTATTTATCTCGTTTCGCACCCTGATTACGCCTCTGTTGCGGTGTGCCCTTGCACCCGCCAAGCGTCGCTCCTGTGTTTGCTGCAGTGGGAGTGGCCTTCCCTCGCTCGACTGACTAGTTTGGAGTAGTGGCCGACCTAAAGCGCCTTAAGGGATGATCTCGCGTTGCTGGGTCCCAATTGTAAGCACTATTTAGATCCGCTTTCGTAATCGCTGCCAAGTTATAAATATATCCCTACTATATATAAAGCGCTAAGTCTGTCTGTCTGTGTGTGTGTGTGTGTGTCACGAAATTCATAGCACGCGTCGCAGCAGTCGTTAGGAGCTGATTTTTTGATATGATATAGGGGTGGGACGGGAACATATTTGGTGGGGGTCACAAAGTGATAACGACTGATAAGAGCAGATAAGAGGCGCTGAAACACAAATTTCACGAAATTCATAGTGCGCTTCGCAGCAGTCGTCAGGAGCTGATTTTGGGGCATGATATTTGGTGGGGGTCAAAAAGTGATAACGACTGATGAGGACTGATAGGAACGATATGCGTACGAACGTAGAGAGCACTTGAAATAGAAAATAGAGAGCAGATTGTAGATAATGCCTTTCATTTCAATATCATTTCATCAGCGTTGTAATTGTAAACTCCTTCCGACCGCTACACCTTCTAGAGTTCTTGAGGATGAATGGGATGCTCGAATAAATATGATAATGAATACTAGGCATTCCGTTTTGAGATATTCGACCGCTAAAATTACCTCGATACTCGACGCATAGTGGTTGTTTACATCATCACTTTAGCTGTGCACTTCACTGCGCTTATCAAACAGTGAGATACAGCCAAGATGAGCAGCAGCCTATGCAACTGACGGTAAATACATTTAAAGCGAGAAATTACGATAAAATTTCTGTGCAGCATGGAAGAACGAGCAGCACTTCAAGCAGTAGCTAGAGCCCAAAGGAATCGAGATGTGGCCTTTTTGTGACTAAAGGTGCGCTCGTTGCAGCGCCCTGGGGCTGCCAATCCTTTCTGAGCTCCGCCTCCGCCTGTGCTCCGCCCCTCAGCAGATCGCTGTTCGATTATCATTCTGATAAGGTATGCCACTTCGAGCGCGTATCCAATTTTTTTCTCATGGAATGCTATATCAATCAAGGTATGATCTCTGGTGGTATGATGGCAGCTATGGTTTAACGAGTGCCGACGACCTCTTAGTTGGTTGCCAACTCGTCCATTATCGGAGGTCAACGGGCAGAGGAAGTGGTCCCATTTTGCGCGTTTTTGACGGATTTCTTTGCTTTTTTCGCTACTAGGGCATTATTCAGCATCTTCACTTCCACTATGAGCACAACAGAATCCTATCGCAATCTCTCGCTTTAACGAAAGCCAGCTATAATTTAGCGGTGAAACCTAAAGCTTCATCGATTGTCAGTTCTATCAATGCGCGCGGTAGCGGGCGGAGCTAAACTGGTCAACTATTATTTGTTTAATAACTCAAGTATATTGAACAACTGAGTTTTATTGAAAGGAAATTGGGAAGGCCTTACAACCTCCACCTCACTTCTGATCAGCTGCCTTTTAATCGTAAACTCGGCTTTAAGATTCTGGGAGAAAAAGGGAAAGGCATCAAGATCATCGCAAAAATTGAGAACCAGCAAGGTATGGAGAACGCCGATGAGATTATT